ATTTGAAGAGGCCAGAGCTTTTTGTAGGAGCACCAAGAAATTCGGGGACATCTTATTTCCCTATATAGTCCTGACCTTGCTCTGTGATCAAAGGTCTCTGATTTCTCTAAGTGAGAAATGCTACTAAAATCCAAGATCTGACCACTCATTCTTTCTGAGGTGTCTGTGATTCTTGGCTCTTTGAGCAAGTAGAGCTAGGAAATAGATACAAGAACACACACATAAATGCACACATACACACAATATGTATGCACACTTGTACTCATGTTTCCACACATCTAAGAAGCATGTTTACATACACATCTGTATGTATAGGCATTTACATGTCTCAGTGTAACTTTGAAATTTTTAGGCACTTAAACCCCCTCTTTTTTTGGGGGGGGTCATTAGCCTGGATTGTTCTATAATATTCATAAAAACACCAGGTTTAGACCCTACATTTAAAATACAGTACATTTATACACACACAATCACACAAAACATACAGAGGGGATGTCTTAGCTTGGGTAGCCACAATAAAATACCAGACCCTGGATGGCTTAACCAAGAGAAATTTACTTTCTCATGGCTCTGAGGATCCAAGGTCATCGGATTCAAGGTCAAGGTGCCAGTAGGTTGGATTTTTGACCTGTGGGCGGCTGCCTTCTGGTCATGTCTTTGCATGGCATTTCTTCTGTGCACGCAGAAAGGCTTTGTTCCTCTTCTTGTAAGGACACAACCCTTATTAGATTAGGGCTCCACCCCATGACGTCAATTAACTTTAGTTACTTTTGTATCTCCAAATATAGTTACACTGGGGGTTAGGGCCTGTGTGTTTACATTTGGTGGGCAGAGGGGTGGGGGTGGGGGCCCAGTTCAGTCCATAACAGAAGGGAAAAGATGAAAACTGCAATTATGAATATTTTTTGCTCTTCGTGTGTGTACACACACACACGTGCATGTATGTGCACTCATGTTCGTTACATTTTCAAACTTGCTGCAGTGAACATTTGTTACCTCATAAGTGGAAAGGTTGCTTTAAGTAGCAACACTCCATCTCCTTGGAGTAGCCCATTTCTGGCAGATGTCCCCTGAGGCTCCCTTGCTCTGGAAGTGACCTATGCTCCTCATTATGAGCTCTTCACTCCCCTTCTCCCCAGGACCTCTGGACCCAGGTTGCCCTCCCTGAGCAGTAAGTACAGGAGTACTGGAGAAGAGCATTGACCTTGCAGGTGCTGTGTCCATAAACGAGGTGCTTGAGCCTGGAGGTGTGATGTGGTCCAACTGAGACCACCGTGTTAGACAAGGACCAAGACTGGGTCTCCCACTGTCAGCTCCCTGCATAGCTTTGAGTCAATCTTTCCTTGAGGAAATCTTTGAGGCTCACACAAAGGGGACTCATGTGGGTATGTTAGGAGCCACGTCCACTTATGTTCCTATGTGTGTCAGGGAGGTTGGCTTCTTTCCTTTCCTTCTGCCACATCCCAGCCCTGATCATACTGTCTTTCTTCTCTCTGAATAAAACTATCATTTATCTCCTTTGTTCCCTGTTTCTTGGGTTACTCTGTCATTCATCTCAAGAAGCTCAGGTGAATAACCTGTCCCTGTTATACACAGGAGGACTAAGGGTGGCCTCCATGCTCCTGGGGTGCCATTTAAGTGTCTGCTGGAGAACACAGAATATTCTGGTCAGAGCCCAAGTGTGGGTTCTGGTCCAGTCTCTGCCTCAAACTGACCTCCAGCCTCAGACAGTTCTCTATGTTCTCTGGACTTCACTGTACACATCCTGAAAGTGATGGATTTAGCCAGTCCCTTATTAATTCGTCCACTTAGGCATGCTGCAGTTCAGACAAGAAGCAGAATTCTCGTACTCCCAAATACCTCATCAAATGCTCTTTTGGACACCTCCTGAGAGTCTGGGTGCCCAACTTGCCCTCTTTCCATTGGGCAGTGTAGCATGTAGATTGGAGCCAGATAGACGGCTCAAATCAGATTCCAAGATGTGTGACTTACACAATTTACAGAGCGTCTCTAAGTCAGTTTCCATTTTCAGAAAATTAGCACATTAATATTCACTTCCTCGGGCTACTGTGAACACAACTGAGATAACGTATGAAAGTAACTGGCGTTAGAAAACATCATTAAGTGGTATCTGTTATTGTTGTTGTCATTTATTGTAAAGAGAAAAGGTTTATGCATCTCTCTGAAAATTTCCATCAGTGAAGCCACAGATCCTGGGGGTGTCTTCAGGAGCTGGAAGATGCTGCCACCAGCTTCCTGTCTTGCACACTAAGAAAACTGCTGGAGAGGGGTCGTGTCAGGTGGAGACAATTTTTTAAAATCTCAGTTTTCACTAATACTCATAAAAACGTGTAAATAAACCACCAGGCATCAGCACTACTCCTAGACAAAGGCTTAGGTAGAGAAAAGACTGCCTGCTTTCACTAGGCGAGCTGTTTGGGGGTATGGGCTGAGGAGAGACTTGGAAGATATCTACAGATACATGGGGAAGGCTCTCTGCCTCCAGGGCCTCCCTGTCTCTGTCTCAGTCACGTCCACTTGCAAAGCCTTATCTGCCAGGAAGCCTGCTCCAACGTTGCCTGTAGTGCTGAAGAAGCCCAGATCTTGCCGCCATGACCCCTTCCTACATCTGTCTGATCCCTTCCAGCTCTCTCCCTGTGTCCTAGGCATGCTGAGCAGTTCCTTAAACAGGCTGCTCACCATCCCGGTCAGAATTGGGTTTGTGTGCAAGTGACAGGAACATTCCATGCCATCTCTGAGGCTGGCATAACAAGACCAAATATATATTTCTCTCATAGAAAAGTCCAGAGGTAGACATTCCAGAGCTTTTGTGACATTCTACAGGGTCAAAATCCTGGGTTCTACCTACTAAGTGGGCTTGTCATTTTTAGCATGTGACTCTACTTCACAGTTCACAATGACTGCTCAAGCTCCAGCCACCATAACCACCTTTTAACCAGTACGAATTAGGGAAGAAACAAGGAAGGCCATGATCCTGCCTCTGAGGGCACTTCCTTTGTTTATTCTTGCTGATACACCATTGGTCAGGGTTAGTAACATGTAGATTTAGCTTCAAGAGAGGCTGGGAAATTTTTATTTCAGGTAGTCTATGTTATATAGCCATATGTCCTTTCAAGTCAACACAGGTTAAAAGTTAGGTTAAAAGTCAGAGTTGTTTGTTACCAAGGAAGAAATAGAGCATGGACAGCACATGACCACTAGCAGTTTCTGCCGCAATCTCTCTCATCTGGGAATCTGCACTTGTTCCTCCCTTTGTCTGGAACATCCTTGTCTCTCCTTAGTACTTACTCTCCTCTGACCATCTTCACACTATCTCTGCTGTGGCTCCTTAGCACCTTTACAGGTGCATAGTCCCTGGTGAGGATGGGCCCAGCACCAGTGTTTCTTGACTCAAAGATGCTCTGATGAATTTCACCCTCAGACCTGTGGGGACAGAGAGGGCAGTGCAGTGACCTTAGGATCCTGGCAATTACTCTTCTTCAGGCAGCTCTTGGATAATTTCCCTCCCCCACAGTCATGTTCAGACACCACCACCACCACAGGGCCGATGATTAGGTTTCAGCCTTGGCAATGGTGGTCCAGGTAGGAGAGGTTACAGCTGTGATTCTTTCATTTACCATCAGTTCTTGATTTGATTTCTGCCATGTGCCCCTCTCACCTGGGCCACATCTGTCCTGCCTGCTCTTTAGGATGACTGGCAACTGATCTCACAGTTCAGTTTTGTTTTCCTAACTTTCTAAGAGGGACGTGACTCCTTTTATTAATAAGCCCCTGGGGCCACTTTTCTGTCTTTATTAACTCATCTTCTTTATATGATCCTCAAGATAGCTCTTGTTTGAGACAGTAAAGAAATGTTGTCTTCATTTCCTGCACTGGAAAATGAAGGCCTAAGAAGTTACCCCACAGTTACAGGATAAGTTAGTGGCAAAGCCAAGAGTGGAGCCTGGTTCTTTTGTATCCAAATCCGGTATCTTTCACTATCTGCTACTACATTTTTATTATTTTGATCATTTAATGAACATTTCCATGCATATTTTCCCCGAGTTTGGATTCTTTCTTGGGATAAATTCCCCAAAGTGGAATTAATAAGTTTTAATATGCTTTATTTTTTAATCTTTAAAACTTATTTTGCAGAACCAGGGATCAAACTCAGAAGCTTGTACTTATGAGGCAGGTGCGGTGCCAATGAACTAAATCCCTGGCCCGTCAATATGCTTTTTTCAAAAGGCTCCTAATACATCCTGCAAAATTGTCCCCCCTGGTTGTTATTCATGTTGAAGCCAGGTGGGTTGAGTTCCCCATATGTAGCTGACCCCAGGAGGCAGGGGTTGAGGGAGAGGAGCTGTGGCTGCTTTGCCTGGCAAATTATATATGAGCATCTCCCCAGGATGGTGAGATTCTTGTGTTAAAGCTGTAGTCCTTGCACACAAGCAGAGTGCTTCTTCTTCACTCAGATACAGACATGGTTATCTGTTCCAAGACTGCAGAAACTACTGACTGCCCTGGACCTCATGAGAGAGATGTGTGCGTGCCATGTATTGGACTTAGAGCTTATTGAACGCATTTCCAGAGACACGATATTATTTATAATTATCTATTATACTCTAATTACATAATCTCACTATATTATATAACTTTTTTGCATGTACCGGGGATTGAACTTAGGTCCTTGCACTTGTTAGGTAGGTGCAACACCCCTGAGCTAAATCCTTGGTCCAGTATTATAACTTAAATACTGAATGACAGCCTTTCTGCACCATGGTTAATGGCTTGACACAAATGTCCTTTCAAGTCAACACAGTTCAGGTTGGCATTACCTTCCTCTCGCTGAAGGTAATGTTGCAACAACTAAGAGCCCTCTGGAGAGCCCCTCTGGAGCTCAGTTAGTGTCTGGAGGTTGTGTGCCACTTGTTGCCATGAGCCAAGCATCCACACCTAAACATTCAAGTAACCAGCTCATTTCCTTTTTTGTTCTGCAGTTGGTCACCACAGAAGGGCGCTTCCTCAGGGACAGTTTGTACAATGAAGGAATCCTGATTGTGTGGGACCCATCCATGTACCATGTAGATATCCCAAAGGTAAGTGACTGTCCGGGGGAAGGAGGGATTGCATCTTTTGTTTGCCGGCTGATTTTCCTAAATTCCTCAGTTGTTAAATTCATGGCTAAAGTGAGCCACTCCTGGCTATTTGAGGTTTAGGGCACCCCTCTTCATCAGGACCACTGGGTTCAGAATTACGTGCTCCTGTCCCGGACCAGCTGCTCTCCAGGGCCCACCCTGAATTGCCATTGGACTGGTCTCTCAGTTATGGCTGAATTTCTCACTGTCCAGAGTGGATTGTGCTCACTAATGCAGTTATTCCTGATGAGCATCCACAGGAATAGATAACAGTGAACTCTTACTCCTGTCAGTAATGTTACCACACTTCCATCCTGTGCCTCCAATTTCCAGAATTCTTCTCATTTCACTCTTATAACACTATAAAGTAAGTGGATGGAAGCGTGGTTGTTCCCATCCTGAAGATGGAGGAACCAGAATGTAGATAAGGGAAGTCGCCTGTCCCAGGGCTTGGTCCTTAAGCAGAGAGCCTAGATTAGCAACATGGACTCTTTCAGTGAAGGAGCCAAGGGTCAGCAGCCTGCTGGACTCCCAGGCTTTCTAGAATTGTCTGTCTGTTACATGTTTAAGTTGGCCTCTGTCTGCTGTGGGCTGCAGGGACCTCAGAAAGGCAGACAGCACTGTTCTTGGGATACTTAATTCTTAGGTCGGATGTACCAACTTAAGTGGCTGAGAGCCGCTGGTGTTCCTGGCACCCTTACTACCTTAGTTCCTACAATTTTGGACTGATTCCACACTTAGAACTCAAATTTTCCCAGTCAGGAGAAGGACTCTAAACTCATAGATATGGCAACTCAGTCTCTGGTTTTCCTCTCCTTTAAAAATGAGAGCACTTTGTGGCCAGGAGGTGTGGCATGTATGTGTGGTCCTGTAGGCCCAGCTGCTTGGGAGGCTGAGAGAGGAAGATCACTTGAGTCTAGAGATTCGAGGCTAGTCAAGCCATTGTAGCAAGATCCTACCCAAAAAAGAAAGAAAGAAAGAGAGAGAAGATGGGGTTAGATGGTGGTGGCTGGGGCCCCTTTCAGCTGTGATATCGGTCCCAGGCTCTATGATCCTAAAGTGTGAAACTGTTCAGGGTCACCAAGTCCAACATTCCCATAGGTGCACTTTGTGCTTGGTCCTGCTGTGCAGAAGTCTGGGATCTGCTCTGAGGGAAGGGCTCACTCTCAGGATCCTGCCTTAATCCTACCCCTCCCATGGCCTCTGATGAGAACGACTAATTACAAGGAATAAGGGCATGTACACATTTCTTTCCTGAGAACACCACTTTCTTCTTTTTCAGTGGTACCAGAATCCCGACTATAATTTCTTTAATAACTACAAGAGCTACCGCAAGCTGCATCCCAACCAGCCCTTTTACATTCTCAGACCCCAGATGCCTTGGGAGCTGTGGGATATTCTTCAGGAAATCTCCCCAGAAGAGATCCAGCCAAATCCCCCATCCTCTGGGATGCTCGGTAAGTCCACATCTCGGGAAAGACCTCACGTGGTTGTTTCCAGAAGAGATCAGCTCTCCTCTGGGATTTCATCCACCCACTTGTTTATTTGCTCACCAAAACAATTGCTGGTATTTGCTCTGTTGGTTCACTGTGCTGAGTTCTGTCTGACATACAGAAAGAAGTAAGATATGATTGTTCTCCTTGAGGATATCTACTGGGAGGATTCAGTCAGGTGCCTGTGGTGGTAGACAGGAGAGAGGATCCGCTTCTAGCTTCATGGAGGAAGTAGCACTGGACTAGACCTTGGAGAGGGTAGCACTTGGTGATGGAGGTGGAGTAAATTGGAAACACATGGCAGCAGAGGAGGCAGAAAAACAGGAGAAACAGGGCTTCTTCTTATGTGGGCTAAGCAGGCCTCATCTCTCAGGTTTACAATGTAGGGGCTTCTCAAAACTTAGGAATCAAGCAATACTTTAATTCAATGCTTCTAAAATCACGATTAATACTAAAAAAAGTATGATAAATGAGATATCAAGTATTTCAATCAAAACAGGATCAGGGGCTGGGGTTGTAGCTCAGTGGTGCAGCACCTGCCTGGCAAGATGAGGCCCTGAGCTTGATTCCCAGTACAAGAAAAA